GGCGCCTATAAAGTCGCGCTCCTCGCGGACATAAACAAACCTCGCCTGGCTCCCAGCTGCGGCTCGGAGCGCACGCCGACCTCACCGCTCTGCTCGGTCCCTGCCTGGCACCACCGGCCCCGCTCCGGCTCCTTTCGCCTTTCTTCCTGTACCTGAGGTGAGGCCCGCGCCCTCTTCTTGCCGAGCAGGGGGGTTGTTGCTCGCCCTTGGGTGCCGCTGCAGCTCCTGGACCGCGCTTTTGTGGCACCCCGGATCGGCGGGCGCGCGGCGACACCGTGGCGCGAGCGCGAGGAGGGTTTTGGGGCGTGGGGCACCGCTGGAGTAGGGGGTTTCGATTAGGGAAGAGAAGGAAAAAAAGACAGGTCCCGTTCATCATCCCCAGAGCTCGGGAAGCGAGGTCCTGGAGGGCCGCGGGGAGTGGAGAGCCGGCCCGGGAACACCTGGACGGCGCTGCCCAACGGCCTCCCGGAGTCAGAGCGGGCGGCGCGGGCCGGGGAGTGCGTGGGCTGCACCTATCGCTGGAGTGGGGTGTCTGGGGAAGGAGGGATTGCGCGCGCGTGTAGAATGGATGTGGGGAGAAGCTGGCGATGAGGCTGGGGAGGAGGCGTGGGTGTGTCTGCTTCCCAAACTGGGCCGGAAAGGTATGGATGCAGAGGGGTGGAGGGTGCGGATACTGTGAGTGTGAGGTGTGTGTGGTGTGCATCTGTGTGTGCATGGTGAGTGTGTGTGTGTGTGTGTGTGAGAGTGAGTGTTGGGGGAGGGTCCGAGGTGTGTCACCGCGCGTACGACACGCTCGGGAGCGAGTGTCTGCAAGCGCTGCTGGCTAGGGTGCGCCCCCCGAGGTGGCCCCTGGTTGGCGCTGTGGCGGCGCGAGAGAAGCGGCCCGGCCTAGAGGGGTCGTGCGGGCATCTGGTGGCCCTCAGCTGGCCGGGGCTCGGAGTGGCGTCATTGTCACCTCCGCCCACCCGCCCCCGCTTTCCTCCTCTCCTTGGCCTCCCGGGCCCGCCTCTCCTGCTCTCCAGGGGAGAGCAGCTGGGATTGCTCGGCCGTGGACGTGGACGGGGACGGCCCCGGAGGTCCGCCGCGGTCTCTGATTCAGCCTTGGGCAGGGCGCGTGCAATGTGGCAGGTTCAGGGGAAAGGCACTGTCATCCCGCCACTGTCAAATTAGTGGCTGAAGCTGGGATTTAGTAGATCATTTTCTTACTGCCCCTCCCCCAGACTCCCTCCCTCACTGGTCCGTGGCCACTGTCGTTAGACGTCCCTGGGAGTCAGGGGCAGCACCCATCTGTGGCTTGGAAGGGGCGGGTGCCTGGCAGCGGGTGGGGGAGGGACATCTGGTGGAGGGGTCCCGGTTGCCTTGTGCGCAAGACCAACTCTTCACAAATACCCTGGGACTTCTGTTTGCTTGGTTCCTGTAAGTTACCGGGGAAGATGGAAGAGTCAAAGACAGTTTAGCCAGTGGCCCCGCTGGAGGGCTATAGTCTCCTCCTACAGTCCACGAGCCACACTTACGCTTCTCCTAAGACAACCTATAGGAACAAAATATCTAAGTACCAACCTCGTTCTTGCCGTGAAAACCCAGTTTCAAGGCAAACCTTCCGGCCCAGGCTCCTCCTGTATAGAAATTCTGTGTCTTTACTGAGTTTCCCAAAGGTGAATTGAAATAAGCAAGGTACAGAGAGAGCACACCCCAGCACCTGCCTTCATGGGGTTCACCAAGTGGAGTGGGGTGCAGGGGAAGGCACAGACCACAGTCCTGTGTGCTAAGTACTGGGGTGGCCCCCCCGGTGGGGATCAGGGGAGTGGGGAGGGGTGGCCAGGAAGTGATGGGAAACCGGTGAAGGGACAATGCTCTGGTAAAGATGTGGAACCTGGGATGTCCCCTGACAGGTGACTTCTCAGTTTTGTGGCACCTGGTCTCCTGCTGGGGGATGAGCTCCAGGAGGGTGAGGAGGAAAGAAGGCTTTGCCGGCCTCACCCTGTGCTCAGGCCTCGGCCTGGCTCCTGGGGGGAGTTCAAATACAGGCACCTCTCTGCCCGGTAATCCTTCAGGCAGCCTCTGGTGAGAGCGCTGGATTTGGCTTTCCGGGGAGATCTTTGAGTACCTATTGGGGTCTCCTCTCCTGAGAGGGAGTCCTCCTAGGACAGCCCGCAAAGCCCAGATTGCCGACCGTTGGTTTGAGCATTTGGAATGGAATGAAAAACTCACAGGAGTTCCTGGTCCCATTTCTTCCTATTTTACAGATGGAAACTGAGGCCCAGGGTTAGGGACCGCCTGGCCAAGGCCCAGCCAGAACAAGAACCTGGCTCCCCAGACCCTTTCCTGGGATCTCCTGGTGGGTCTGGTGAGAAAACTTTCTGGACAGAACGTGGGTGATTTTTAATTCATTTACTTATTTTTAGTGCAAATCAGGTGTTCTTAAGCCATTAGCAGAAGCCGTCTCGTAAGGAAGGGCTGCAGCCCCACTGAGGGGTGTTCGGTTGGATTCGAGCTGCCTTCTCCAGGTTGGACTGAGAATCTGAACAGTGCTGGGCCCCCCAGGGTGCTCCGAAACCAGAGCTCCCCACCCCACAGAGTGGGTGGGGAAGAAAGAGCCTATTGTGTTTTTCTGAAGGCCCGAAGCTGTGCTATAACCATGGGACCCAGTTCTAGAGGATCCCATCCAAGCCATGACTCAAGTTCCCTGGCCTCAGAAAGAAAGCCAGGGTGATGACTCAGCATCCAAGATTCTGGCCGGGAGGGGCTGGGGAGGGAGGGATGGCTGTCCAGATCAGCTGTGTACCCCTCACCCGTTCCGTCCTTGCAAGAGCTCTGCCTGGGCTGCATTCCCTCTTTTAAATGGACGAGAGAACCCAGGCCGGGGCATTTAAGGGACGTTGCTTGTAGCCGCATGGCTTTGACCCCGGAGAGTAGGACTTCAGAGCCTTTGTTCTGTTTCATAGCGACTTATTGGGGTGACTGGGGAGCTGCTAGAATAAGTAAGGGCAGTTTCTCAGGAACTCGGTGCCTCAGTTCCCTCTCCTGCCTCATCAGGACGTGTAACGCGGAGTTAATCCCCGTTAGACTTGAGGACGGTGCTCCTCACGTGGGTGCATCACGAGCCGTTCGCTGTTAATCATTTTCACAGATGACATTCTCAAGGCATCTCCGTGGCAGTCGGTGTCAGGGACCTTTCTCTTAAGCTTACCTAGGCCAGTGAAAGTGCCTGCAAAGGCTGGCCTCACGTTTTGCTTCCTGAGATTCTTCCAGAAATGCCGAGCTCATGCAGAGTACATCGACACGTCATGGGAATCTTGCCCGAAATGCAGATTTCCAGGCCTGGTGTCCTGATGCTCTGATTCCGTAGGGCTGGGAGGGGCCTGGAATCTGCATTGTTTCAAAGCTTCCTGGGCTGGGTCGGGGGCAGGGAGTAACGAAGGCAGCCGCAGTTGAAGACTTCTGCTCCCGAAGGATGGGGGAGGAGGAAGGAAAGGAGAGGCGACCTGTCGCTTGTCTTCTCGGCCGCTCCTGTGAACCCCGGCTCTGGCAGCTGGGTGCCCGGTCAGTAGCTGGTACCTGGCCACAGTGCCTGTGATTTCAGTGCATCGCCTCATTCGGTTGAGGCAGGAGACCTTCTTCCATGTCTCAGGTGAGGAAACTGAGGCTTGGGCACGTGTCTTGCGTATCCGGTCTCAGGTGAGTGGTGTCGGGCCCCAGGTGAGCCGCCCTGGCCCTTTCCCTGCGGCCTCGCCCTCCCAGGCTGCCCAGGCCCTTCTGGGCTCCTCTTTGGAGCATGGACTCGGTTTCCTGGATTCATTTCGGGCTACCCTTCCTGCTACCTGGTCTCCCTCTGGTTCCTGGGCCTGCCATCTATCTGTCTCTTCTCTTCACGTTTGACGATAGGGACAGGCTAGGTGGCAGTCTGTGCTGCAGGACCGGAGGTTAATTCGCTGAACACTTACTTGGCATCCTGCTGGGCCAGCTTAAGCATGTCTGAGGAGGATGTGCAGAGGTGGCAGGGGGACACGTGACTCTGGATGTTCTTGAAACCCAGTGCTCCGGGGCATCCCGCGAGAACAGACCTGGGCCTCTCGGCGGACATCCCGGGCTGTCTGATTTGGCACTACAGAATGGAGCAGGTCGGAGAATTCAAGTCCACAAATAGGGTCTTTGACCCAGTCTTTGACTCTCCTACCTAACATCCACTGCAGACCCGCCGGCCCCCTGCCCTGCCCGGGCTCCTTCTGCAGGCTTTTTCAATCCAGCAGGGTGTCCCTCCGTTGAGGGGGGCGGAGACGAGGGTCCTCAGCAGTCAGAATGCCCTGTCTGGGGCTTCCTCGTTCACACTCCCCACCTTAAACCCCTGGAAACTTCTGTACTAGTGTCAATTTTACACCCACGGGCAGCTTGGCTTAAAGAGGTGAGTGGGGACCAGGGCTCCATCGGGTTTCTGCATCTTGACCCCCGGCCGCACCCCCTTGGCTTGGCGAAGGTTCTGGGCAGCCCTCTCCGAATGCGGTACGAGAGGCGTGCCGAAGTAGGTAATTCTAAGTGCCCTCCCCGCTGGGAACGGGCGCTTCCTCTCCCTGTCCTTTTTAATCATCATACTTGCCTCCTTTCCCCAGAAAGTTGTCCCTCCATGTTCCCATGTCACCTTCCTTGGATCATATGCTTGAGGGCCTGGCACTGAGTAGGCCCTCGGTTACTGCTGGTCCAAAGGAAACCTCCATTTATGAAGGCCGTGACTTGGGCTGTCCCGTGTGGGAAAGATGGAAGGCCACCCAGAGAGAAGCGGCAAGACCATTTCGGGGAGTGACCCACTCAGCGTGGCAACCGTCCCACCTCAGGGACTGAGGGTTTTGTGGGAAGAATCATTTCCCACTTCCTGTGCTAACACTGGCTCAGCTTGTTGCATTCAACAAATTATCTCCCAGCCCGTCCAGTGCGGCTCATACTTGTCCTGCAGAGTCACAGAAAAATCCTGTGACCTGACCAGCATCTTCCTTTGGGCTTCTGGTTATTCTGCTCGTCCCCTCAGACGGTCATCTCCTCTCTGCCAGACAAATTGCTCGAGCTGCCGGACCTCCATGGAGAACCTACCAGAAGGTCCCAGCGGTGTTGCAGAGAAGGGGGTGGGCTGCCTGCTGGTGTGTCCCCGACCTTCTCCCCGAGCCT